ATAAAATTCGACATTTCACAATGTCGAATTTGTGCTCTGAATTCGACATCTCAATGTCAATTTTTACCTATCAAATTCAACGTACTTTTGAGGTCGAATTTTGGTCTTTTTTTTTTTTTACTCTTAAGTGTCGATTTGTTGCATAGTTTTTCGACACCTAGGTGTCGATTTTTACTGGTTTCAAATTTAATTTTTTTTCCTCTTTTTTTTTGTAACGTTGAACAAAATGAGGAATTAGAAATTGACTACTCTAATGGGCGGCGGGGCTCTCAGTGATGGCGGTCGGCGGCGGAGCTTGGGTGTAGGGTAGGATTTCATAGGGGAGGGGGCATGAGCAAACAAAAGTCAATTTAATTTATGGGTATATTTGTCATTTCATTTTAATAAAATGAAATATTTTGGAATATTTCTTTAATTTGTATTGCACAAGTGAAATTAGTATTGCATATAGCCGCAGCCAAAATAAAATTCATAATTAATGACGATTTTTTCAATCTTACTGCAAGGAGTCAACGGATATTAATATCTAGAGCTTTTCAAATAAAGTAAATAACAAATAGACCCATAACAAGAACACTTAATTCGGGTCATGCAAATGGGTAAGATTCATTTTAGTCCTTGACATTTGGAGTCAAAATCAAATTCATCCCTATAGTTTTAATTCGGTTCAATGTCATCCTTGGAGCAAAATTCCACAGCCAAAATTCACTCTTTTTTCACAAAATACTCATATTATCCTTGTAAAACCTGGGGGACTAAAATGAAAGCGCCAATGTTTTCTAATTGTTTTTTTTATGTTTTTATTTTATTCCGGGAAAAAGGCCTTAGTAGAATTATCTTAAAATAATATCTTTTTGTTTGTATTTCAAGAAAAATTAACTTATATTTTAGTAATTAATTTATGTTTAAAGGTTTGGAAAAAATAATATTTGTATGTATTTTGTGAAGATTTTGTTCGAATGAGAAATTAATTTTTAAGTTCTTCAAAACGTTATCAAATTTAATTTTATTTTGAGGTATTCAGTAAAAAAAAAAAAAGGGCATTGGGCGGAATTTCATTTTAGTCTCCATGTTTTGCAAGGGTAACGTGGGCATTTTGTAAACATGGTTGATTTTGGCTGTAAAATTGTTTTACGGTTATGACATTGAACAAAATAAAAAACACGGGGATGGATTTGATTTTGACTGCAAGCTCAGTGACTAAAATGAATTTACCCTCTTGCACATAAATCCAACTCATTCAAATTTATTCGCAAATAAAGGAAACTCTTTTATATATAGCAAAACTAACCCCAACTCCTTCAAATTCTTATTCAACTCTATTTCCATGATTTACACTCTAATTTCACCAATTAACCAATTTTGACCGTCACCGCCGGTCAACCGCCGTTGACTTTCTTTCTTTTTTTTTTTTTTTTTGAAAAGTTTTTTTTCTGAATTTTTTTCTGGTATGTCAACCACCGTTGACCGCCGGTCTCTGGTGTTGACTTTATTTTTTTTTCCGGGAGTGAACCACCGTTGACCGCCGATCTTCAACGTTGACTCTTTTTTTTTTAACCTAATTTTTGTTCAAATTTGTTTTCATTAATATTATTGTCTTGGCTTGCAATATTACTATCTCGGGGACAGTAATATTACCGTCGGAGATAGTAATTTAACTATGTGAGATAGTAATTTAACTGTATTAATTAATTTTATCATCTTGGCCTGCAATTATACTGTCTCCGACCATAACATTACTGTTTCCGACCGTAATATTACTGTCTCATGCAGTAATATTAATGTGTGGGACACTAATATTAGTAAATTACTGTTTGAGACATTAATATTAGTAATAGTATTGTTTTGCCATTTTATATTACTGTCTCAAACAATAATTTTGTTGCTAACACAGTAATTTAGAAAGAAAAAAAAGTTAAAAAAAAAAAAAACAAATGCCGGAGAACCACGCGCGGTCAACGCTGTAATATGGCCGGAAATAAAATTCAGAAAAAAATTATTTTCTAATTTTTTTTTAAAATTATAAAAATGAGAGTTAATGTGATATATTTGTTCAAATTCGGGGTCAATGTGCAATATTGATGAAGTTAGAGTATAATAGATGGAATTAATGAAACTTATATTATGTGGGGTATTTTAGGCAAAAGACACATGCATTAATTTATTCGTGAGACTGTTTTTTATCTGAACCTATATGCATTTAAGTATTTGTTATGGGCCTATTTGCCATTTGCCACTTAAAATATATTCATACCTAGAACTAATTTGAAGAATATTTACTTTTGACACAAATAGTAGCCTAATATAAATTATTAATTGTGTGAGATTTAGCACGACCCTTTTTTGAATTGTAGAATTTTTGAAGATTTATGCTTATTCATTTGCCTGGTGATGTGGCCAATTTAAATAGCTGAAATTTAATTAGCCTAATTAACTTAATAACCACTGAATCACAAGAGAGATTAGTAAAATTCAATAAATTGCTAATTTTTGATATTTTTCCTAACTTTGAGCAAATCAAAATTTGAAAAGTTTAATTTAATAAATAAAATATACTCGAAAAATTAATAATAAGAGACAATAATTAATTGCTGAGATTCGGGGCAAAATAATAGAAGCCAATAATTAAATATTGTTAAAATAAATTATATTAAATAAATGACAAATGAGTTTACCAAGTGCAAATTTACCTTAATTTTTTATATCTTCTTAATTTTGAGCAAACCAAAATTCAAAAAAATAATTTAATAAATAAAATATACCCGAGAAATTAATAATAGGAGCAAATAAAATTGCTAACATTTGACATTTCCCTAGTTTGAGCAAACAAAAATTAAAAAAAAAAAATTTAATAAATAAAATATACCCAAGAAATTGATAATAGGAGCCAGTAATTAAAGGTAAATTATACCCACACCCCTTAAGTATGCTTAAATAATTTAAGGCTCATGTGGTATCGATAATTACACTCACCACCACCTGAAACATTGTAGAAACTCTGTGGGATAATGTTTGGAACAACGAACGTTATTCCGATAGAGTTCTAACAATGTTTCAGGGGGTGAGTATAATTATCGATACCATAAACTCTGATGGGATAATGCATTGGATGCGATTCCGATAGAGTTCTAACAGACTATTACTTTTATCTAGTGTTGGAGACAACAAAAATGTTAGGGGAGTCATGTCACCCCCGAACTCTATGTTGTATCCATCACTAACTAAAAATAATAATCCGTCAGAACTCTATCGGAATAACGTATCCAAAGCAATCCCATTAGAATCTATAAGCTTCAAGGGGATTGAGTGTAATTATCAATACCAAAGGATCTTAAAGTTGTGTAAGCTACTAACTAAGCATACATCAAAGGTGTGGGTGTAATTTATCCAATAATTAAATATTATTAAAATAAATTATATTAAATAAAAAATAAATATAGCTATCAACTGAGTGGGAAAAAAATTGTAGAATTACAAACACCCCCCTGAGGTATGTTCAAATTACAAAACCCCCCTCTTGTTTGGATAATTACATCTACCCCTCAACTATGATTTTTTCTTACACCTCCACCCTTATGGTGCCAAATTCAACATAACCATCTAGATTTCGTGAAATGTGCTCTAGTTTGTACTCGTTTTGTGTAAAAATACAGTTTCCGATGCACCACAAACTGATATATACAAGCTAAAAATCACATATTATGATCATCTTGCTTCATAATGTAGAGTTTGAATGGGATAAAACGGGTACAAAAGTGATAATATTCCATATAATCTCGAAGATTCCACTAAATTTGAGGAGTTGAGGGGGTGGTTGTAATTATCCAAACAAGATGGGTGTTTTTGTAATTTGACCATACCTCCAGGGGTGTTTGTAATTTACCCGTATTAATAAGATAAGATACCAAAATATTAATACCGAAAAATTGGTAGGTAAACAAGCCATAGGAGAAAAATACAAACACACTATGTGAAGGAACAAGCTATGTCAAATCAATCAACATGTGTTATGAAATGAAAGCATTCAAAACACACATAATTGCAACTGCAAGAACTATATATATATAATGCGCTTCTGACAAATTAAAGTGCGTTTTTGGGTGGCTGCGATTCTCAATAGGCCTACCGCAAAGCACGCTTATAATGCAATAGTCATGGATCCCGCTCCCTAACAGAATCTAGTACCGAAGCATCTCGAAGATTCCCTGCCTATTTGATGTTATATCGGAGTTGTCTTCAAAATAATGATTGGTAGTAAGTTCTATTCTTCGTGGCATAAACAGCTTTTCCATCTAACTTTTAAGTTTTTTTTTTTTTGTAAAATATCAATTTATTGATCATAAATCACTTATATACTTTGAGGTAGATACTAAGTTTTAAGTCGGAAGTTGATCCAGTGAAACTTCTGGAAAGCACAAGTCAGTTTTATAGTAAAACAATTAATTATATAATTATAAAATAACGAGAAAGATATATTTTTATACTATAAGAATAGTTTTTTTTTTTTTTTGTGAACATTTTAGATGAATTGCAATTTGATCTCATTAAGATAGTTTTATCAAAATTGTACTATATATATTCATGTTGGTACTCTTTGTACATTTTTCAAGTGGAATTAGAATTTGATAATTTTTTTACTTTATTTTAAAATTATTTAGATACCTACACTTCATAAATTTTTTTTGGACAATTCAATTCGGACCGGTTGAACCATGATCCAACCGTTGGTCTGTCTTTCTGACTCGTCATGTAAATTTGGAAATATGAAAATCTATTTAAGCAAACGAAAAGTAATTAAAATAAGTAAAGGATAAAACCAAGCTTTTATACTTCTACATGTAAAATTTGAATTTGTTTTACTCTATATATATTTAAATTTTATTTGGCTATTGCGACTTGTGAGTAACTTATTAGGCATTAATGTAGTAATTAGGTTCATCTTCTATGGAGCCTTTTTAAATCTTAACATCAAATTATCATCTCAAATGAAAATATATGTACTATATAACATGTAATTCACTTCAATTACGACAACAAAATGGAGATATTCGAGTCTCTATTTCTTCATCTAACCATTAATTCTTCGATAAAATATAAGATCATATGATTTTACAACTACGTAACATAAAAAAAACGTACAACGGAATAATAACATAATGATTGATACTAAATAAGCTCGCTCCCTTCTTTTTAATTCTGGTACTAATTAAAAATATTTTGTCGTGTCCAAATAATTGACGCCCTAGCTAATTTTAAACCTACATAGCCGTGTCCGGAACAAAATCCTCGAATCGCAGCTTCATAGCCCCAGCAAAATGTAGTACACCAGTGTTATCGGCAACGCGATCAACATTCCGAATATTACACTGCGTTAATTCATTGAAAAAAAAAACATAATTTAATTCATATATAAAAAAAAATTAATGGATAAAAATAAATAAAATAAAATACAGTTACCCTGTGCTGAGAATATCAGGGTGTACATTGTACTCCTTGGCAAAAACAAAGGGGACAATTCCTTGCGGCAGAGCAGCCTGTTTTTCCCCACACCAAACCATCATTATTATATGTTATATTATATATCAGAGAGAGAGAGAGAGAGAGAGAGAGAGAGAGAGAGAGGGGGAGAGTTGTCTTTTTCTATAGATATTTCCTTGACTGAGAAATTGTCCTGTTATATTTGAACACAGCGAAAACATTTTATATGTGCTATTTCAATGACTGTTGTTTTTAATTTAATTTAAATAAATTAAAAAAAGCCAAAAGAAGTTAGTTTCACGTGTTTGACTGTCATGGGTGTTTGTATATTTTGGTGAGAGAGATTCCTTAGGCATGCAACATGATTTTATTTTTGTTGTTTCAATATATTCCCACCAAATGGGGGGGACCATTAATTTTGATTCCATTCTATACTTAATTAATTAATTAATGGGTAAATTACAAAAACCCCCCTGAGGTATGGTCAAATTACAAAAAACCCCCTCTTGTTTGGATAATTACATCTACCCCTCAACTATGATTTTTTCTTACATTTCCATCCTTATGGTGCCAAATTCAACATAGTCATCTAAATTTCGTGGAATGTGCTCTAGTTTGTACTCGTTTTGTATAAAAATACAGTTTCCGATACACCACAAACTAATATATATACAAGCTAAAAATCACATATTATGATCACATTGCTTCATAATGTAGAGATTGAATGGGATAAAACGGGTGAAAAAGTGATAATATTCCATATAATCTCGAAGATTCCACTAAATTTGAGGAGTTGAGGGGTGGTTGTAATTATCCAAACAAGAGGGGGTGTTTTTGTAATTTGACCATACCTCAGGGGGTGTTTGTAATTTACCCATTAATTATATATATACAATTAAGAAAAAAGAAAAAAAAAGGACCTGAACAATGGCGACGCGGAGAAGAACGCCACGTAGGCCAACGGCAATAGAAGCAGCGGCCATGACAGCTGGTCCTGTAAGAAATCTGACAGCCATAGCAAAAGTCGCCACTGAATTACCACATGCTATTATCCTCGGTTGCAATGCCATGAACAGACCTGCATTATTTATATTATTTATTCGTCACCGCCCTGTCTCTTTATCATCCTCCCCCCTCTACTGTGTGTTTCTCGTGGTGTTCTACTGTGTGTGCTCTTTTTTTTTTTTTTTTTTTTCGGTTTGAAATAAAATTGAAAGAGATGGCAGACAATAATGTGGAGACATGCTGCCATCATGACAATGAACCATGCATATATACACTGTTTTCATTAATTATCTCAAACTTTGCTTTTTATAAGCATGCTTCTTGCTTTATTGATTGAATTAAATTATTAAAAAAAAATTACATAAATTGAATTTAAAGCATTTTCAATAAATAAAAAAATGTAAATAAAATTGAATACTCCTACTTACCAAGACTAAACATGGCCATCCCAAGCCCTGCATCAGACAGTATAGATATCGACTTTGCTATTATAGCAGGCATCTCTACATTCCACCTATATATTATAATAAATATAAAATCCCCCATAAATAAATAAAATTAAATCAATTCACATATTTATTAAAATTAATTTTAATTTAAATAATTAAAAAAGAAATACCTGAAAGAAACAAGAGACCAAATGAGACCAATTAAGCTGGAATAAGTGTTGGGATTTCTGATGAGTTTCCGCCAAACCATGATCAAAATAAGCCTAGTCATCACACTTGTTGGTGGCATATTCACTTTCTCTCTCTTCTCTCCCTCTCTCTCTCCTCCTCCTTCTTGATCTTCTCTGTTATTTCTAAAACTCAAATCTTCTCTCTCTACACATTCCTCTTCCTTATTATTTTCTCCTTGTCCCTCCACTGCATTAACAAACAACATACCAACCATCAAAAAAACTTGTAAGAAAATTAAAAAAATTAAATTAAAAAATTTATTAATTAATCAAAAAAAAATTAAATATACCTTTGGCAGGAGAAACACCACCGCCAAACACATCCGAAACAGGAGAAGCACTCGTGCTCCATACGAACATATGAACATCTTTCCCGCCACTTTCCTTTTTATTTCCCGCCATTTTTGAAGGTGAAAACATCCCGGGGTTCGGCGCCGGGTAGTTTGTCCCATTCCCATGGAAGAATCTAGACTTATTCGCCGCCGCCGCCTCCTCCTCGAAGAAGTTCGACGGCCTCGAACCGGACAGCCCGTAAACGTCGTTAGCTCCGAAGTTTGAGTTTCTCCCGCCGCCGGCCGAGTAGAAATCGGAGTGGTTGAAGCTCGACCCTCTCGGCGTCGGATTCCTCGACGACTGTAAAGAATAAATCTCGGCGTTCGTCAGATTCGACGGCCGGGGCGTCGCGCCGGAGGGAAACCCGCCGACGGACTTTCTCGAGAACACGTCGGATTTCGAGGCGCTGGATTTCCTGACGGTGACGTGGAGCTTCCCGTCCTCCATAACCTCCGCCGCCGTCTCCAGCATCTGCCGCCCGTCGAGCGACGTCACGTCGGAGTCGACGGTGATGGACGCTATAGCTCCGGCGGTGTCGTCGGGAAACTGCTCGGAGATGAGCAACCGGGCGCCTCTGAACTCGAACAAGAACAGCATCAACGTGTACCAGACGATGCACTGGAGAACGACGATCTGGACCATCAGCCCGCCGGAGAAGTCGCCGTACATCCCCTTCAATAACGGGATTCCCATAACGAGGGTGTTTGGGAGCGTGGATAGCGAGAAGAAGGTTATCGTCCATTCCAAACAGCCCCTCTTGGTGAAGTTGGCCCACACGGCGAGTGCCGCGAGGACTATGAGCTTCTGGAGGGTGTCGGCCGCGATGAAGCGTACGTTCATTGTGTACGGGTTGTTGCCGGCTATGAAGTGGAACGAGAGGAGCGGCACCGCGAACATTGCCACAAACCGGTTGATGCCGGAGCATTGCGTCGGCGTGAAGATCTTCCACCATTTTACGGAGCCGTAGGCGAGGATCATCGCCACGTAGAGCGGCACCACCGCGGTCATCACGTGGTAGAAATCGGTTGAGGTTATCATCTTTCTTGGCGAAAATGGAGTGTTTTTTCTTCTTGTGGAGTTGAAAAGTATGTAGTGATGGTGGAGGGCATGTGTGTTTAGGGTTTATGTGGGGTTGTTGTGAGTGTTTGTATGTATAATGTATAGTACATATATGAAAGAGAAATTAACGGAAAATACAGTTTTCATCCCTCGAGTTTTCTCCAATTTCACATTTGGTCCTCATATAATGGAATGTTTCCAGCACGACTGTAACTGACGGACTAAAGATAAATTAACGGAAATGACAAAAAATGTCAAATTATTAAAACATGAGACACCAAATGTGTTTTTTTAAACATGAAGGACCAAATATAAAATCATTGTGAACTTGAGGGATGAAAAGAGTAAATTTCCCGTGAAAGAAATATAGGATATAGTAGTTGTTATTTGTGGGGGGTTGTTGTGAGTATTTGTATGTATAGTACAGATGAACAGAGAAAGGAAGTGAAAAATACAGTTTTCATTCCTCAATTTTTAGTCATTTTTGTCAATTTTCCGTTAAAACTAACAGAATCAAACGTGTTTCCATCACTACTGTAACTGACAAACTGACCATAAATTGACTGAAATAACAAAAAAATGTCAAATTATTGAAACATGAGGAATTAAATGTGTTTTTTGTGAATATGAGGGACCAAATGTCAAAATAGAGAGAATTTGAGGGGTGTAGACGGTAAATTACACGAGAAAGGAATATGGGATATAGTAATTGTTATTTGGGGGCAGTACAAAAAGAGGCAGAATAAGCAGCTTTGAGTTGCTATTAAGAATAAAAGTGATTGAACCTGTTTGCACACTCCCCAAAGCAAAGTGTGAGGAGTGAACTAATTATGTTTCACTTGAACTTTGTTTTTTTTTTTTTATTATTATTTTTTTTTAACTTATTTGTTTTAGAGCTGTGTTTGGATTGGAAAGTGAGAGTTGTGTGCGTCTTATTAGTACTTGTCTGAACAGATCCTGTCTTGCATCAACCCTTTTCTTGGATTTTCCTTTGGAATTATGAGCTTTTTATATATATATATATATGGGCTATGGATGTGCTTAGATTCGGCCCGTATGATGCTCTAAAATCAGCCCGTTGACCACAACTCGGTTAGACATTGGCGATGAACTGCGACCCGAACCATGAATCGGTTCATGTAATAATATGGGTCGGCCGGCTACGATTCAATAGCCTACCTATGAATTGGGAACCGCCTTTTAACCATGGTTTTTCACAGTTCAAACTTCAAACTGTCAAATTTATATTAGGGTAAACAACGTTAAATCGCCTATATTTTGCTCATTTTTACCGATTACCACCTCAATTAAAAAAAATTAAAAAAAGTTTGATCCCACCTAAACTTAATAAGTTGTGCCACGCTGCCACTTTTCACATTTTCAGGCAAAAAATACCGGAATTTGAAGCATGTTCGTTCCACATTTGCAACGCAAATGCTTCAAACTTCAAAGTGAAAAGGATTATTATTATTAGTACTATTATTATTATTATTATTATTATGATTATTATTACTACTATCATTATTATTATTATTAATAGCACCACCACTAATACTATTACTACTAATGCCACGACTGGTGCCATGAGTCCCT